GTTTTTTGGGAGATTCACATAAACAGGAAAAGCCATATAATCTCCAACGTTGTCCCGAGCTTTCAAATTTTCGCAATACCTTCACATTTTCGTTCTGCTCGCATTGCTACCCATTTTATTTTCTTTCATGTAGAGCCGCTTGAGAACGCGAGAGAATTTTTTTCGACTATTTTATGCGTGACACGAATACGCTCATCGAGCAAATCGTCTTTCAGCACAGCCTCACAAACCAGAACCACCCTTTCCCGTCGTTGAATGTTTCTCTTTTTTATTTTCTTTCTTCCCTTTTTTTAATGCTGTAGCTAATGCCATCGTCGAGAGCAATGACTTTTTAAGGTCTTTTTACACCTTTCGCTAGAGTACAATTTCCAGTATGTGTTCTGCCCGTATTCAAGCCGATCCAGCACGCTATTTGCACTGCAACTACGTATTCTTACAATATGACCGCATTATTATTCTATGTAGATTTTTTTGTTACGCTACTTGCCCTGCGTTCAACAAAATTGGTTGTAATATTGGATTATACAAGATTGAATATGAAACCGATCGTTGGCTGGAAAGATTTAGATTAAATAATAAAATTTCGCGATTCAGAAATTCAAAGAGGAAGACAATGCTCTACAATTCAGAGTATGCACTTTAATTTAAATATCTGAATATCACAAGCTGGACGTTTCTTTAAATAGAAAAATATATTGTAAAAAATAAAGTTTAGCAATGTCATTTGAAATGAATTATGTGGGATTGCTTTATACGTTAGAATATATGATATAAATTAATTTCAGTTTGAAAATTGTAAAGATCAACGAAGACTGACTCGGTCCACACATGTTTAGTGCAAGAGATGTATCACCAAGTTTTGACAGTCTCCGGATAGACGAAAAGAAAAAATTAATTCGTCAGAGATGTTACACGCGGACATGATAAAGACCATCAAACTGTCCACAAGTAAAATACGTGCATATTTAGACATTCGGGTTATACCAATTCTGTGGTATTCTCACACGTTTTATTTTATTTATCGTATTGCCATACATATACCAATTCATTGCAACAGCACGTGACACAGTTTACAGCAAGGTTTCTCAAGTTTAATTATAAAATGGGTTGTCAGTGGAACCAAAAAACATGAAAATATTTTTACTAACGTAGAATGAAACTGTACGAATTTTAACTATATTCATGGCAAACCAACCACCTTGAAGGGGGTTCTACCATAGAAATAAAATGGACGGGCTAATTTCAAGAGCTGCGTTTGTCGTGTATTCTATTTATGATATTGTTATCAATATCATTCACTTGAAATTACTATTTCTTTTTTAGAGATCATACTATAGCGAAATGTAAATGAAATTTATAGTGAATGTGAAATTAAGAAAAAAATAATAATAATAATACGGTCAGTCCTACGTTACCTTGCGAAGTTACGTACTGCTGCTGGTTTGTGTAATTAAAACAATAAAATGTATCAAAAACATAAATTCACAAAGGATTAAAAATGACTATATAATTCGTCTAATACCATCATGTGCTTTATGATATTAAAACGGAAAGTCATATAAGGCGTACAAAAAGTTAAATAGCAGTAGATGAAATATTAAGAGAGAAAGTAGTCCTTTTTGTTTATAATAATGTAATGCTTTAAATATTTAAATGATGATAATTCGAAATAAAATTGTTTCAAAATTAATTTGATTTTAATTGACAATTCTAAATTAGATGTGCTAAAATAACATTGGGAACTTTTATGTTCATTCTAGGAATACCAGAGTCAACGTTCATATGTACATAAAGGTGTTTACCGGCTAATGAAAATGAATAATGATAAAAAAATATCTTCTAAAAAATCGTCGATGTGCATGTAAGCATGGTAAGTTTTAATCATTGACTGACAATGGGGAATGAATTGCGTTGACCTCCGGCATTTCGGAATGTAATACCATCCGTACAATGGACAGCCAAAGAAATAAAAAGCACAAGAATCGAATATTGCATGGAAAATAATGATTGTGAATATGCAGTGGCGAGGCACGTCTTAATGTACGCCCGTTGAAGCATTCGGACGTGGCCACGTGTTCCTACTACATATATCAAACCAGGATTAGCACATGCGTGTGATTTGCATATCAATGATTTATGACGACGTTAAACTCACTATACAATTTAGAATATGTTTTAGGTATACATAATGTAACATAAGAAAAATTTGGGTATATTAAGTGTAATCCTAATATATATATCCTAATATCCTACCTAATATCCTATATATTGTGACGTTATTTTATACCGTCACAAGACTCTGGAAGAGTAACTCGCGTGTTTCAATGGCGGGACGCAGTTCCGTCCCTTTTTCTGGCAACCCAGCACGATACCGGCTAAGAACTCCAGGCTCATAGACTAGCTATCGAACCTTAAGCTAATTTCAAATTGTACATTATTTCATAAATCGCGAATACGACACCGTACCGAGCCATCACGAAATAACAAGCCACCAAAGGAGGACGTGAAGAGCTGTTGCCGATACCTGACGACTCCACCCTGGATGGACCCTGCCCGAAGTAGAGTACGGAGGGCCAATTACAAAGTACAGCGCCATGGACTACACCTCACCTCTCGTTGCGTATCGCCGGTATGTCTAGCCAGACTTGTAACGGCTAGTACCGAAGACGAGAAAGTCCCGAGTTCCGCGGGAATTCTCGTACGGAAGGATCAACGGCCCCCAGACCGGAGGAGCCGTACCTGAGCTGAGACGACAGACAGTTTCAGCAGGACTACCGAAAACATCAGGATCCCAGCCGCTATCGTCCACGACTGGACCGGAACTTCATCATCGCCAGAGGCCACTGGACACCCTGAGCTGCAGCAGCGAGATTGTGACTAAGTTCTACGCGACTAGCGCTCCGACGACAGTTCCGTCACGGTATTGCGTGTAGACCGCGTATGAACCTTTTAACGTTTCGCCGTCCTTTCAAGAATCAGTATCGTGATCGCGGAAAGGCTCCGGCAATTATATTTTCGAATCCGTCTCGTCAGGGTAGATGATTGAACCAAAAATGCTGCAGTAACGTCAATTCAAATTACCGCTTGAGGAATTGTCTCAACGGCATGACTTTGGTAGAGGCGTAGGAATACTTGTATTGTAAATCCTCCTGAGGATCTAATTGGCTATTTGAGGGCACTACATTCGATAGATAGTGGGGACACAGGTCCTGCCCTACCGTGAAATTTGCTGAACATTCATTCTCTGCTGAGTTACTATCGTGGTCGGTCGTCGAGTAGTTTCGCTAATTATCGGTAAGAATCTTGTAACGAATCACGGAAGCTTTTCCAATCGGCTAATATCTTAG